TTCCTTCCTTCCTTCCTTCCTTCCTTCCTTCCTTCCTTCCTTCCTTCTTTCCTTCCTTCCTTCCCTCCCTCCCTCCCTCCCTCCCTTTCTCTCTCCCTTCCTTCCTTCTTTTTCTTTCTTTTTATAATCCCATATATTCAAATTTCCCTGGAAACTCTGTGTTGCTAAATTATACCTCCACATAACAACATAACCCCTCTCCCTGACTGCAATGGCAGAGACACATGAATACTTTGGCCAGCAGCATGAAGGATTTTTTTTTTTTGTTTTAAACTAATGTGATAAAATGTGTTCCGGGTCATTCCATTTGGTCATTTTCATTTGGCCCCTTGAGTGTCCAGGAATCTCCATCTGGGGATCCTTGGTTGAGTCGAGAGCATCTTCTCACTGACCTCCTCCGTGTCACAGAGAAACCCTTACACCGTCACTTGCAGCACATCCCCTTGCAGAGAGGCAATCAAGTCACGGAATGCAGAAAACGGGGCTGGGGTCGCCGCCGTCAAGTGTAGGTTTTCGGTGCACCTGTGTGCCGCCATTCCAGATACCTAACAAATGTAACACCCACCTGAATGACGTGCAGCACAGATGACCAGAGGTCCCCAGGGCTACGTCTTATGTATTAACATCTGCTTCCCTCAACTTTGGTGATCACGAGCCGTGTTTATACTTTTTCCAATCACTGAGGTATGCAATGGTTGACTTCAGTTATTATTTTAGCTTGTTGTTGATTTTTTTTCTTTGTTTGGTTTTTTTTTTTGTTTGTTTTTTGAGACAGGGTTTCTCTGTAGCTTTGGAGCCTGTCCTGTCCTCTTGTAGACCAGGCTGGCCCCGAACTCACAGAGATCCACCTGTCTCTGTCTCTGCCTCCTGAGTGCTGGGATTAAAGGTGTGCTTGTTGGTCTTTTTCTTTTTAAAGAGGAAAAGATTAAAGGGTGACCCAAATGGGTTGTAGCAGAGTCACAGATATGTTTAGAATAAGTTCTCCCCGCCCACGGTAATTTTCATTTGGTGTCGGGGAATGAGAGTGTTAGATATAGGTGCCAATCGGGAGGGAAAGGAAGAGAAAGGAGAGGAATGGAAGGTAGACATGCATCTGCCTCCCACTATCTTCATTGAGCTGGAAGACCGGCTGAAGCCTTAAACGTCGGAAACGACAAAGCTGTTTTTGAAAGAAGGAAAAAGACCCTGGGATCTGAGCAGCTGTGCTCAGCCTGCATTCGGAATGAACCGGTTTCAGGAATGAAGATGCTCAGAGACGCTACAAGTAACAGGCATCTGACTTCAGAGCCAGGATCACCAAACAGGAAAGTAAATTCCATTCCACCACCCTGTGTGAGTGTATGCAAGTCCGATTAGTTTTCTTTTTAACTATTACAATCTTCTTTGGTTACCGAGAAACCCACATTGTGTCTCTGTAGCGCCCAGCACTGCTATGACTTCGATAGAAGGTAGAAGTTTGTAATTCGGCATATAACTCCAGAAAAGCAAGGACAAACAGGCTGGGGTACTCATGAGGTGAGATGACAAGGGGCTGGCCCTGGTCCCTCAGCATCACTGTAATTAGGACATGTAATTAGGACCTGTAGCTTTCTTCATAGCCATGCATGTCAGCTAAACTTAGAACTTGAGTTCTAGTTTTGTTTTTTTTTTTAGCAGAAAAGAATTAGCTAAAAACATGGCATTTCCCGGAAAGCATTAGGTGTTTTTGCTGTTGAGCAATCTCTTTAAATGGTGATAGTTTTAATATTTACCAGGAATGTTTGGGCAACTCCCACCTTTCAGTAAAAGACTTTGTTTTGAATCTGTTCCAGGCTTGTGGGTCAGAGTCCTCACTCAGCAGGTAGTTCCAAGGAGAACCACATTTCTGAGTTCCAGCGTCCGTTCTTTTTTGCCTAGCTTTCAGCACAGGGAGACAGAGCAACGCTTTCTGATTCGATGCAGGAGTCTGACATTGTGGGGAAAGAGTGCCCATCACAATGATTTTGTCACAAAACGCCCATTAGGAAAACTCCCTACCCTTGAGAGCAACTTCAGTTGTTTCAAAACCTGGATGTCAGCTTCATAGGAGCTATAATGCTTACAGATTTACCTCGTTGGATTATGTATCAGCTGAATGGAATTATTTTTCATGATGAGCATAGCACTTCCCCAGTGATTGGTTATTGTAATAAAAATCAGTACCTTCTCCCTTTGTGTGTGTGTGTGTGTGGGGGAGTGTGCGTGCGCACGTGCGTGTATGTAAGAAATGGTAGGTGTTAATTGGCTATTAACACCCAATCTTTTCTTAGGCATACTTAGTGCTTAAATGAAGCTCTAGGATTATAACAAAATATCACATTTGGGATGGATCTGAAAGCCATTTCTACTGAAGAGTGTATGGGATAGATTTATTCTCATTTTCAGGGCTACTTCAGTAATCCCTTTTTTCCAACAGCGGTTCTGAATGTCTCCTCGTACATGAACAATGCTTAACCTCAGCATGTGTTTACACATTGAGGCACACCAAAGAGAGTGTGTTCATATCATTAAACACACAGCAGAAGCCCAGATAAGCCAGATGACCTGTGGTATGTGTTAGTATTCGGACGTCTGGACTAGCCTACCCTCAGCTCACTGTCCTCTGGGCTCATCTCCAGCCTTGTGTCTCTACATTCCACCTCGCTGCTGTCAGAAGGACATTAACTGTTTTCAGTAAAGGGTGGTGGGGGCGGGGGGAGATAGCAGATGATCCAAACATCCCATAATAGAATGTACGCACTACAAAATGATTCCTCCCTAGAATCTTAGAGTTCTTAGGTTCAAAACCCAGCCTTTTGTATTCCCCAGAGCCCGTCTTTAGGATTTGTTCCAGGTCTTTGTTGAAATGAGATCCCTGAACTCGAACCAGGGCACCGTGACTGAGTGTCCTCAGCTGATCATTGGCCTACCAGCCTGACACCGCCGGTCTTCAACATGGCTAGCACCTACCCGGACAAACTCCTACACATGTGTTTTGGTGGGGTCAAACATGACTGAGTAACGGAGAAGCAAAGGACAAAAGGAATGGACCAACACTGTCCAGTGAATATCATGTGATCTGTAGCAACTCCTATCTGCCGACTCCATTAAATCCACAGGAAGGGGATGCATACGGATGTGCGGGAATAAGACATTGAAAGAGACTAGATAATTTACTTGTGTTTCTACATCACGGATTTACACTCTCTTACCACTGTGAAAACCCAAAATGTGCAGAACTAGCAGCTTTTCATCTTTTAGCTGGTGTGTTTTATACCTTGATGACAGTCAATCTAAATCAGGGATCAAATACTAAAAGGAGCTAACAGCGACATGAGATTTTTGTGATTCCAGTTTATTGAATGAGTAAATTCATAGCTTTATTCGCGTACAGAAAAGTGCACAGAAAGACAGGTACATACAAAACAGTTGTGTGGCTGATCACTTTTAAAAATTCGGCCATCTAGAAAGAGTTACCTCCAGTTTAGCACATCTTTAGGTATTTGGAATTTTAAAGTATGATTTCAAGTCTCTGTTTATAATAACTGAGTAGGAAGTTAGACAGAAAAAAAAACCCATATGTGGTAGATAAGTAACGATCAGCTTTAAACAGAAACCCAGAGGACTTCAGCTTGGATTACTTCAGGCTAATCAACAGAGGCTCACAAAGACCAGCTTCTCGCTTAAATCCTGAGCAGTCATTTTCTTCTACTGAAAGGTAAGATTGTATCAACACCCATAAGACCTGAGCATTAAAGGTCAAGAATTAAAAAAATACAAAAAGCCTCAACATAAACATAAACTAAGAGTTTGGCAGGAAAAAGCCCTTCAGTACTCTGTAACAAAAGGGCTGAAAATGAAAACGCACTGCGTAGGTTTCCAAGGTTATGCGGAAAATATTGGAGGCAGATTTTCAATCATAACCTCACATATCACCCTCTCTCCTCTCTTTAACTATATGACTGCCGTTTCAAGAACATTTGCCAATTACCTGGTAAAGGCATAGAACAACCTCCAGCATGGACCCAGTGTGTTGGGGTACCGTCACATTTAGCTTTCAGAATATAGTCCTTCATTGCTGAGCAGAGTCCAGTTTCTCTCCTGTCTTAAATTGCTCTTCGGAAGTTTAGTTTAAGAGAATGACGCCCTATTCCATATGGAGGATGAGGATGGTGTACCTTCCAAAGTCTAGACATTGGGCTAACAAGGACTGAAGGTGAGTGTGTGGGCTTCAAATCAGTGAGTCGTTCAATGCCTTTCGACCCCATGAAAATCTGTTCCTGGTGAAAATCTGTTCCTGGATAGTGTTTCTACAAACCCAGGAGCAGAATGAACAGAGAGGATAATGGGAGACAAAGACAGGGAGAGATAAACAATACTTTTCTCTCTTTTAAAATCACCAGCAGGAGATTAACAATGGGATCACCTAGGTTCTGGGAGAAATCATTGGAATGAAGAGAAACTATACTTTTTAAAAAGTAATTGCCACAATAATCATTTTTATTGAGAAAGAAAAATCACATGATATGAAATTAGGATCATCAAGGAAAATTCAGGCCATAAGGTCACCAGGGTCAAACAGCTGCAAAATGTCTGGAATGAAAACAATGTGAGGCCCCAGGGAGAACTTGTTTTATTCGCGTTGAATAATGCCTGACGTTTGGAGTTAGAATTTTCTCCATTTCATGTCAACTATAAGCACCTCTGAGGGCAAGATTAATAATGACAAAATGGTCATCCTGAACAGGTCCTCGTTTGTAACGGAGAAGTCTTGCTTTCATTTTACCCAAAAACCTTTCTGAGTGGGGATGGGAAGCAAGGTATCTTGCTGTCCTATTAACAGAATGTTTACGTTATTCTGCACACCAGGAACACCAAATGACTTGGAGCTACCAAATGACTTGGAGCTATGCAGATTTGGGCATTTCCTCAGGGTAGCATGAAATAAAGGGTTAAGGTGGCCACACCTCCCAACTGGAGGGTAGAAAGGGGAGCATTCTGAGAGGGTCACAGGGCACAAAGGACAAGAATTTGGCAGGGAAGCTACTTCATTTATAGTTGAGCTAGAGAGTTTAGGAGCTTAATTTACGTAAAACCATAGTTTCGGTTTAGCTTCAGCCTAGACAGAAAGTATAAGGCATTTTACAAGAGGCAAAGACAAGTAAGGCAACAGATAATATGTCAAAGGTGGAAGGAACAAGGACAGAGGTCCGCACGTGTCTGGCTCTCAGCTCTTGTCCTTGGCTAAAGCCAGTCTTTTGTTCCTCTGGGTAGTCAGCATGACAATGTCCTAGAGAAACATGGAGAAGAATGGTTAGGATATTTGGGTTGAATATCAATGTATTACAGATGACACCATCATTTTCAAATGTTAGGGATAGGACATCCCAGAGCTGATGTGAAGACAGAACAGACAAGTACCATCCATCCACTCGATGTGATAGTGTGTGCTGATGACTTCAGCACTCACAAGGCTGGGGAAGGAGGCACTGGATTTCAAAGCTAGCCAAAACCATATAGCAAAGCCAAGGCCAGTCAGAACTAATGAGGGAGGCTCTATACCAAACCATCTATACCTGCAAGGAGTAACCTGGGCCGGAGACACTGAATTGGGAAGACCCACCCTAAATATGGGATAGGGATCTTTGCAATGGGATTGTGAACTAAATCAGAAGGGGGCAAACTGAGCATCAGCATCCATGAGTCTCTTACTAACTGATGATGCAATGACACAAGCTGACCTGCGTTCCTGCTGCCACGACTTTCTCATCTTGATGGACGTCAATCATAAACCCTTCATTTCTTAGGTTGCTTTTGCTAGGTATTTTATAACAGCAGCAGGGCAGGCAAATGACACATCACCCAATCTATGAATTGCCCAAGTTGTTGTTGTTATTTTCTGCTGTGCCTAATTTATCAATGACCTTTTAGTCATTTATGTGTGATGAAAAAAAAAACAGGTTGGTACTAAGTTGTAATTCATGGTTTTAGAAATCCTCAGGGAACTTGGAAATGCATTCCCCATGGATAATGGGAAATAAATCTTATTATTATATGTGAGGAAGTTATCTATTATAGATGACTCGAGAAAGAGTTTAGCTTTGATTGGATGAGGAAATATTGAAATAAAACGGGCTTGGATTCATTGCATTCATTTTTATTGTTCTACCCTTCTGGCTGTGCCTTCTTTAATGTCATGCGACTTAGCTTAATTTTTCCCTTCTCTTCAGTGCCATGAGATCAGAACACAACTGGTGTCATTTATTGATGAGGAGAACAGATCACAGGGAGCCCTGGCAGAGACTTCGGCTTTCCTAGGATAAAGTCCACTAGAGATGGGATGGTCAAGCCTCTCACTTAGATTGCACTTTTACTGCTTCTGAGGGCAACATTGACAGCTGTCACTGGGGTTAGAGTAACACATCACACCTCAGGGACCAGTTTGAGATTATCCTTGAGGGAAGAGATGAAACAGAAGTTATATTGTCATCTGTTTCAGAAAGTCCTTTAAATCTGGACATTTTATAGAGAGTCAAATTGTTACAAGGATGCTTTGCCTTCAACAGGATTTTTTTTTTTTCAAGACAGGGTTTTTCTGTAGCTTTGGAGCCTGTCCGGGAACTAGCTCTGTAGACCAGGCTGGCCTCAAACTCACAGATAGATATTCACTTGCCTCTGCCTCCCAAGTGCTAGGACTAAAGGTGTGTGCCACCATCGCCTGGCCAACAGGAATTTTTTTAAAAAGTAAGTCTGGGAATGCAGCTGGAAGGGCGCTTCATTCACAGAGCCCCAGTTTTGATCTCCAGAACTACATAAAACTTGATGTAGTGGTGCATGCCTGTAACCCCAGCACTTAGGAAGTGGAAGCAGGAGATTCAGAACAAGGTCGTTCTCTGATAAAAAGAGAGTTTGAGGCAATGTTCTATTGAATTTACTTCCATATAGACCTGAACTATCAAAAACACAGGACAGAAAACTTTATCTCCAAGCTTGACTACTCTTTGTAAGAATTAATTTCCTAAATGCTCAGCCTTATTATTATTAAATTATCAGAGTGTTGATCTTCATACTTATTACTCCCAAATTACACATACGTAGCCTCTTTCCAGTTTTAAAAATAAAACCTCACCCTTTACCCTCTGTATCACAGTTTCTCACCATTCACCCTACTGCAAGAAAACACTAAGTAAGTGCTTCCACTTACAGAAGCTAGGCGAAAGGATTTCCAAAAGGGCTCCTGTGGGCATCAGAAGATGCAGACTGAGAAGCCACCTAAGAGAGAAAACAACACAACAAACGCTATTACAATCTTAAGAAAAAAACCATGTGATTAAACCTGTTTCCTTTAAGCATCACTTAACAGAGCGGTTCTCAACGTTTCTAATGCTGTGACCCTTTGATACAGTTCCTCATGTGGTGGTGAGTGCCAACCATAACATTATTTCCTTTCTACTTCATAAATGAAGTGTTGCTACTGTTATGAATCATAGTATCAATGTCTGATATGCAGGATACCTGATACGTGGCTCCTGTGAAAGCGCCAGTCAACCCCAAAAGTTGGCAACCCATAGGTTGAGAACTACTGACTTGGATCGTAAGCCAATCAGACATTGTACGTGTCTACAGTAACCTTTGTCTACTTTCTCGAAGATGACAGTACATGTTGTTTGTTCAGAGTCAAAGCTCTGCTTGGAAGAATTGCCTGGAAGAGGTATAGAACTATTGATGGGAGATTAAAAAATTAATCTTTAAAGGTCTTTAAGAGACTATTTTGATTCAGCTTCTCCCATGCTTTCACAAGACCAGTTAAGTGAAATCCAAGGGGAGGTTTCTGATGCCATTATTCTTCAAGTTCAGGAGATGGGAAGGCCTGTGGAAGACAATCTCGCTCCAGCTTGACTGGATGTTCACACTGTGAAGTTTCCTAAGAACACCTCATAGGCAAATAGGCATTACCAGCAAGGAGTCGTTGCATAGGGCAGGTAGATTCAGGAAGCTGCAGGGGCATGTGGCATGCTCTTTTAGGATTCGGTACTTACGGGGGGCTGTGATGAACTTAAGCATCCTTTGGAGAAGGGGTTCTCAAGTGAATTGTCAGCAGACTTGGTACCCGAGAGGAGACCTTGTCTGGGAACTGGCTTTGGTGGTTCTGGAAGGCAAGGGACCCAAGCAGTTAGTAGACAAACTTTGCTCGCACACAACACGTGTTCCCTAACTGGCTTACCTTTGAAACTTAATTCTTTTCACGAGTGAAAGAAAAATCACCACACATACCAGGACTGTATCCATCTATCAGAACAGAGAGCTACATTTATACTTTATCTAAAGCGGAAGACTCTCAGAGGTTCCTTGCTTGTGGCCATGAACGTGGGCTATATTATCATTCAGCTTTCCAAATGCCACAATCCATCAGCAGCAGCCCTTTCAAGAACGGTCACTGGGGGGCAGCATTGAGCCAGTCCTTGGGATTGGCAGAGGTAAAGGAATGGTTAAATTACCACCAGAGGCCCGAACTCCAGAGCAAGCAGGAGGCTGACTACTGATGAAAATAGAAGGGTCCTCTGAGTTCTCCATGCGACTTTATGGCCGCTGAAACGTTAGTCGGCAGAGAAGTGAGCAAACTTACCGTTAATCTTGCTCAACAGCTGATTGGCATCAAAATCGTCATGGTCTACATGCTCCTGAGGGATGCCAACTTTATTGTTGAAATAGCTGGAGAAGGCACTTGAAGTCCCTGTGGCAGACGTCTCCCCCTTCCTTGAGGGTACTACGGGCGGCTGCCGCAGCTGGAAGTCCTTAAACATTTCCTTCACTTCCTTGACTTCCTTGTCCCCGAGTGGGTCTAAGCCAGTGAAAGCATCACTGGGGATGTCCTTTAGCGGGCCATTTCTGGGAGGAGGCTGAGGAGGCGTGGCCAGAACAGAGGGCAGCGCAGGAGAGGGCTGAATGGGCATGGCAGGAGGTGAAAAGGTGTTACTCTGGAAGGGATTCCCCAGGGAGCTTGTGGGTGACCAAGCGTTGGGTGGTGCCACGGGCGCCGCAGAACACCAGACTGCGGGGGCTGGAGCGGAAGCTGGGGCTGCAAACGATGAAGGCTGATTCCAAACTTGAACCGCTGGGGTTGTACCGAAAACGATCGGCTGACCGAAACCTGAAGGCTGGCCGCTTATTATGGCTCCTGGGACCACAGCTGTAGAAGGATTGAAGACGACAGGTGTCCACGGTCCTGCTTGAGGGGGCGTTACTGGAACACCGCCTGAAGGAAGAAGGAGAGAGAAGTTATCAAGAGACAAGCTTCGAGAATTATTTTATTTTTATAATGATGTGCTAATTGTATAAAATCATGAATTTAATTGTGACATTTTCAAACATCCATATAACATGCTTTGGCTGTATTTGTCCCTTTGGCAAGAATTTTTGATTTTTAGGAAGCATGACTTTCTGGGTGTATCCCTAGACCACTCCCAAGGCAAACGACTCTTTGAAGTTTTGAATCTGGTTCAGAAATAAAGGCGTCAAGAGATTAAATCACTCTGGCGGTTAACTCATTCGCACCGTTTAGCTGGAATTCAAATGCTTGTGGCTCGCTCTTTCTTCCACACTTCTTCCCTCCTTAGAAGAGTAACACACCCTGTAAGTTCCTAATCACGAATAAATGAATGCCTACCAAAAATGCATCGAGGAACCTCCAACACCCGAAACAGAACTTGCGAACAGTAAGAGCTGATTTGTCAAGTGGGCAAATAAGCAAATCAGTGATGATCGAGTAGTTAAGACAATTCGCTGTGTAGAGTCACTCTTTAGTTTTGGCATGTAACAGCTGGCCCCTGCTGAGGACCAGTTATAATGGATGGACACAAGTTCTCAAAAAGCATTTCTCCTATTTTAAAGGGTCTCTCCTTTTTAATGCTGTCAGACTTGACACAGCTTCATAAAAGGAAGATAAAACCTAGCTGAGACCCGCATAGTTTTAGACTTTACATATAAAAACGGAAGAAAGGCTATAATCCCAGGCTGGCTGCTTCCAATAGAAGTGCTTCCTGCCATGTGCTACTTGCTAAATGAAGTTAGAGCGGAGTAGTTGGAAGACAGGAGAAGCAGCCCCTTTGTGGATGACTGTGGTCTCCTGGCAGAGTATCATCTCCAGGGCCTGCCTCCCTGTCGTGTTCTTCAGGATGCAGTTGCCTCCTGAGAACCAGGACTCTCCAGCCTCTGTTCCTTAGGCGGATTCATGCCCTGAATCCTGTTCTAACACAGGACGTTCACTCTCTCTGCCCTCTCTTCCCACTAAAACATCAGCACTGAGAAAAGACCAAAGCAGTAACCATCTGCTAACTCTAGTCCAGCCCCATCCTCAGTCACGGGTGGTGCTCCCTGTTCTGAGGGTCGGAGCACAACATTCTCTCGTTACCCATTTTCTAATCCAACCAGGAAAAGGCTTCAGACTTGGGATAGAAAAGATTTTATTGCTGTTGGTTTGTCTTTTTCCCAGAGGGAGAAGAATTTTGAAATGGGGTCAGGAGCTGTTACAGGGCCCTCTCTTTTGATTCTTTCCTTATCATGAATGCTGGCATCTGGTCAAGAACACACTTGCTTCATTCCCATAGAACGGCCGCCTTATTGGATCAACATTTCTCAGTGAGAGAACTGAATCAAGAACATATATAATCAGACATGGGAAGCTCACAGTCCATGCCCATGGGCATAAACTCATGTGCCTTGGCCCTGACCCCAGGACATTATTCTCTCATTTTGGTCTCTTCACTGCAAGGCACAAGAAACAATTACTTGTGCAATGGGAAGTTAATTCACATACTAACTTCATAGATACATTGGGGCCAGGACTTATTGCATTATGGGACACATTCACAGAAACCGTGACATGGCTTCTCTTATTAAGCTTTAAAAGTGGATTTAGTGAATCAAAGACCTGGATATTAATCCACACACCTTCGAACACCTGATTTTTGACAAAGAAGTAAAAAATACCAAATGGAAAAAAAGAAAGCATATTTAACAAATGGTGTTGGCATAACTGGATATCAACATATAGAAGAATGAAAATAGATCCATATCTATCACCATGCACAAAACTCAAGTCCAAATGGATCAAAGACCTCAACGAAAAGCCAGCCACACTGAACCTCATAGAAGAGTAAGTGACAAGTACACTTGAACACATTGGCACAGGGAACCACTTTCTAAATATAACCCAGCAACACAGATGCTGAAAGAAACAATAAATGGGACCTCCTGAAACTGAAAAGCTTTCCTAAAGCAAAGGACACGGTCAACAAGACAAAACGACAGCCTACAGAATGGGAAAAGATCTTCACCAACCCCACATCAGACAGAGGTCAGATATCTAAAATATACAAAGAACTCAAAATACTGGTTATTAAAAGAACAAATAATCCAATTAAAAAAATGGAGTACAGATCAAAACAGAGAACTCTCAACAGAGGAATCTAAAATGACTGAAAGACACTTAAGGAAATGCTCAACATCCTTAGTCATCAGAGAAATGCAAATCAAAACAACTCTGAGATTCCATCATAAACCTGTAAAAATGGCCAAGATCAAAAACACTGATGACAACTTATGCTGGAGAGGATGTGGGGAAAAGGGAACACTCCTTCATTGCTGGTGGGAGTGCAAGCTGGTACAGCCCCTTTGAATGTCAGTGTGGCGATTTCTCAGAAAATTAGGAAGCAACCTTCCTCAAGATCCAGCAATACTGCTGTTGGGTATATATCCAAAGGATGCTCAATCGTGCCACAAGGGCATGTGCTCAACTATGCTCATAGCAGCATTGTTTGTCATAGTCAGAACCTGGAAACAACCTAAATGTTTCTTGACCAAAGAATGGATAAGGAAAATGTGGTACATTTACACAATGGAGTACTACACAGCAGAAAAAAATAACGACATCTTGAATTTTGTAGGCAAATGGTTAAAGCTGGAAAACATCATTTTGAGTGAGGTAACCCAGACACAGAAAGACAATTATCACATATACTCCCTCATAAGTAGTTTTTAAACATAAAGCAAAGAAACTAGTCTACAAATCACAATCCCAGAGAACTTAGACAACAATAAGGACCCTAAGAGAGGCATACATAGATCTAATCTACATGGGATGTAGAAAAAGACAAGATTTCCTTAGTAAACTGAGAGCAAGGGGACCTTGGGAGAGGGTTGAAGGGGAGGGGAGAGGTGGGCAGAGAAAAATGTAGAGCTCAATAAATATCAAGAAAAAAAAGAGAAGAACCGCTTAACTCACATAGTTGTTATGAGAGTTAAATTAATGTTTGTGCAGATGCGTTACAAGACTTTGATCTGGAAGCCCTTAGAGTAATATAATTTATGTGTAGGTAAAAGTTTTTAATTTTGACTATGTTTGATTCCTTGTCAAGATTAATAAGAGCACAGCTGTCTGTATTTTTAAAGAGTGGGTTTAGTTTGAACAAAGTTATTGAGAAGGTTTCAAAACTCATTAATGTTGTGAATGAAAGGGTCATTTACTAATCGTTTCCACCATTGCGAAGTGCAAAAATAAAGACAGAAAAGGAAGCCCCCATTTCCCATCCTTCATCCTGAGCTACTTGTCTTTCCTTGTAAAACTCTGAACTCTAGTCATAGATAGTATCAATCGGAGTGCGATTTGTGAAAAAGAAAAAAAAAATGTGGCTGGCCCGGAGCCTTTCTGAAAAGCCATTGACAATGACACTGGGACTTGTTTCCTCTGCATATACTGGATTTTTGGGATCCAGTCTTTTTGGATACTCACCTTCCTGGACCTGGAGGGAGGGGGGAGGAACTTGAACTTCCCACAGGGCTGGAAGCCCTGACCGCTCTTAGGGATGGAGAGGGAGGAGGAGGG